TTTGACCTTAATGCAAAATGGTATGGTTTTTATTTTTATACTATGTACGTTATCAATTTAGAAAAATTGAAACAAATTTGAATTTTCGTCGGGTGTCTTCACCAGGCGTCGTTTGTTTATGCAGTTTTATCTCGTATGATTTAATTTAACGTCTTTATATAACGTGACATTTAAATTGTGTTCTCAATATTTTTCTTAAGTTTAAAGGTTTAGACAATTTTGTCTTTTTAGTTTGTTAATGCAAATATTGTTCATAGAAACACCATTTATTCCGGTCAATTTGATTTATCAAATCTATTTTTTTTAAAATCTTTTTTAAAAGTTCTCAGTTTAACTTATTTGCCTGTAGTTCATTGTCAACTTAAAGATTAAAATCAAAACAGTGCTTACCAACTTTAAGTGTAAATCTATAAGATACTGTGTCCATCAGAATGTGGAAAACATTTCTGGTTAAGTGCTTTCAAACTATAATTTTTGTTAAGTTAATGTCACCTTCTGTGTTCTTCTGATATTCAAACTCCGTGTATATATTTTATTCATGGACGGGATTTGTCATATTTATGTTCATAAAACAACTTCTAAAAACACAGATTTCACTTTAAGATATGCGCCATAATCATAATTAAAGGAAAAATAATTTTACACCAAAAGAGTTAAACTGTCAGTCCAGTGAGTTTTCATCGCGTATTTACATGAAAAACAAAAAGCGAACCGCAAAATTTTTAATCAGACTGCAGTCAGCGCTATCCCCTCAGCTTTGCTTCAGTAGATATCCAATTGACCTCGGTCTGAACATTGTTTAACATCATGCTCAACTTCATCCAAAACTGTTAAATATTTTCACAGGAGAATGTTTACATTTCACTTCAGTAGAAATAAATTTCCTTGTACATTAACCCTCTGTAATTAACCCTCTGTACAATATCTCTGTACATATTTGTATGCATCTCTTCTCTGCATGTATAAACCTGTATAAACCAGTAAAAAAAGCCTCACGATTTTGTATAAGCCTTGGGCATGATATTTATTTAAAGTGTTTGTAATTTTAAATTGTGCAACTCTGGTATTTTTATAATCAAGAGCACTATTTCACAGCACAACCTAAATGAACTCAACCAAAAAAGAGTGTACAGCTTACAGTGTTCATAACTCAGTTTTACATTGAATTATATATTCCTTGTCTTCATGTTTGTATAATACTGACCTAAATCATAATTTTTTTCTCGGCACAAATTTGTATTTAGTGTTCAGATAAACTTCCTTTTCATCAAAAACGAAGACATTGGAGTTTATACAGTTTAAGCTTCACAGATTAGTTGGCAAAGTTGAAAAACCAGCTTTCAGCCAACAATCTTAAAAAATTTCAAAAGAAACAGATTCTATAGGTGGCCCGATAAATCACTAAAAATGCGTAAACAAACCATAACTCTCCTTTTTCCATTGTAACAGACCGTGCGCCGTAAAATTCGTATTATTTAATTTTTTACACTTTTCAACTTGTTTGTAAAAGTTTTCTGTCTCCATGCCATTGAACTAAAATACGTGGAACACTACCTCAGGCCAATTATTGAAGTCATATCTTACGCCACACACGCGAGATTTTACCCAAGACACGCGCGTTTAGTGTTTCGAGATTCTTTCGCGGAGTAATAAGTGATTGACTACACACTCGTGTCTGGGGAAAAGTCTCGCGTGTCTGGGGTACAATCACGGCTTTAAAAATTATTAGGGTTTCGTATTACAGGTAGCGTTCCATGTATTTTAGTTCAATGCTCCATGCTGAATGCCTTAAATTATTTTATACGCCATTATTTTTAAAATGACCCTCAACAGGAATTGGTTTATTTAATTCTTTAGAAAAGTTGAATTACAAGATGGCTTTTTTTTGGAGTGTTTTTTCCTATATTGATAGAATTCAGTATGCTAAATTATTTTTGGTAAAGTCCTATTATTTTTATATATATATTTTGTAGAGTGTGATATTTTCAATCATTTCTATCAAGTATCATTGTCCTTTTTTAGATATGAGTGGATTTTTTATCAAACATGTTCAGTCAGGAAAGTGTGTTGATAATGCTCCAGCAAGCTTCCGTGGAATCGCTCCATTACGGCTTACAAGGAATTTTTTTCAAGTGACAAATAGTTTTAAATTTTTACCATCTGGCTCAATCTTGAATCTGAATAGAGCAACTTGTCTTGTGAGACGAGGCAACGGAAATTTTTTGTGGTTATCTGATGGAAATTTTAATGGAGAATGCGGAGCCATCAATGCCATAACCCAAACATTTGGGGGTGGTCTATTCTTTCCACGCTATAATAAATGTATACGACTAAGTGTGTCTAAATACGTGAGACTGGCTAATTGTACAAATGAAGAAGATCAGCGATTCAATTTCGGCAAGTGAGAATATTCATCCAGTTAGCGTAGATATACTTAAACTCTAATTAAAAACCACTGCAAGGCCACAGATATAGGAATGGCGCCAGTGAAGTCACTGCCATCACACACTTCATTTTTATCAAATCAACTTTTATTTTACAGGAATTTAAAGATAAGCTTGTATAAATTTGTATTTACTTATTTTTTGTGTGTCTTCTATAGGCTCAGTAACATGTGATGGAAAAAATATATCGGACGTTAGTTGTTCTAATAATCAATATATGGTGATAAAAGTTGCAGAATATCGTGGATTGCGAAAAGGAAGCATTTGTGGCTACGGTTATGACTTTAATTACAATTGTAGTGTCGATGTGACATGTGACCTTAAAAATTACTGTGATGGTGAAAGGGAATGTAATGTAACTGTTGATGATAATCACTTTCCTTCAAATATTTGTCCTGGTTTGAAGAAATATCTTTACTTTGAATATCAATGTAGCTACACAAGTATGCCATACAGAAAAATTTGCAATCGTAAGTAATATATAGGCAGATTATATTTTGCTTATGATATAAGTGCTTCGGGACAAGTTTTGACCTTAATGCAAAATGGTATGGTTTTATTTTATACTATGTACGTTATCAATTTAGAAAAATTGAAACAAATTTGAATTTTCGTCGGGTGTCTTCACCAGGCGTCGTTTGTTTATGCAGTTTTATCTCGTATGATTTAATTTAATGTCTTTATATAACGTGACATTTAAATTGTGTTCTCAATATTTTTCTTAAGTTTAAAGGTTTAGACAATTTTGTCTTTTAGTTTGTTAATGCAAATATTGTTCATAGAAACACCATTTATTCCGGTCAATTTGATTTATCAAATCTATTTTTTTTAAAATCTTTTTTAAAAGTTCTCAGTTTAACTTATTTGCCTGTAGTTCATTGTCAACTTAAAGATTAAAATCAAAACAGTGCTTACCAACTTTAAGTGTAAATCTATAAGATACTGTGTCCATCAGAATGTGGAAAACATTTCTGGTTAAGTGCTTTCAAACTATCATTTTTGTTAAGTTAATGTCACCTTCTGTGTTCTTCTGATATTCAAACTCCGTGTATATATTTTATTCATGGACGGGATTTGTCATATTTATGTTCATAAAACAACTTCTAAAAACACAGATTTCACTTTAAGATATGCGCCATAATCATAATTAAAGGAAAAAATAATTTTTACACCAAAAGAGTTAAACTGTCAGTCCAGTGAGTTTTCATCGCGTATTTACATGAAAAAACAAAAAAGCGAACCGCAAAAATTTTTTAATCAGACTGCAGTCAGCGCTATCCCCCTCAGCTTTGCTTCAGTAGATATCCAATTGACCTCGGTCTGAACATTGTTTAACATCATGCTCAACTTCATCCAAAAACTGTTAAATATTTTTCACAGGAGAATGTTTACATTTCACTTCAGTAGAAATAAATTTCCTTGTACATTAACCCTCTGTAATTAACCCTCTGTACAATATCTCTGTACATATTTGTATGCATCTCTTCTCTGCATGTATAAACCTGTATAAACCAGTAAAAAAAGCCTCACGATTTTGTATAAGCCTTGGGCATGATATTTATTTAAAGTGTTTGTAATTTTAAATTGTGCAACTCTGGTATTTTTATAATCAAGAGCACTATTTCACAGCACAACCTAAATGAACTCAACCAAAAAAGAGTGTACAGCTTACAGTGTTCATAACTCAGTTTTACATTGAATTATATATTCCTTGTCTTCATGTTTGTATAATACTGACCTAAATCATAATTTTTTTCTCGGCACAAATTTGTATTTAGTGTTCAGATAAACTTCCTTTTCATCAAAAACGAAGACATTGGAGTTTATACAGTTTAAGCTTCACAGATTAGTTGGCAAAGTTGAAAAACCAGCTTTCAGCCAACAATCTTAAAAAATTTCAAAAGAAACAGATTCTATAGGTGGCCCGATAAATCACTAAAAATGCGTAAACAAACCATAACTCTCCTTTTTCCATTGTAACAGACCGTGCGCCGTAAAATTCGTATTATTTAATTTTTTACACTTTTCAACTTGTTTGTAAAAAGTTTTCTGTCTCCATGCCATTGAACTAAAATACGTGGAACACTACCTCAGGCCAATAATTGAAGTCATATCTTACGCCACACACGCGAGATTTTACCCCAGACACGCGCGTTTAGTGTTTCGAGATTCTTTCGCGGAGTAATAAGTGATTGACTACACACTCGTGTCTGGGGAAAAGTCTCGCGTGTCTGGGGTAAAATCACGGCTTTAAAAATTATTAGGGTTTTGTATTACAGGTAGCGTTCCATGTATTTTAGTTCAATGCTCCATGCTGAATGCCTTAAATTATTTTATACGCCATTATTTTTAAAATGACCCTCAACAGAAATTGGTTTATTTAATTCTTTAGAAAGGTTGAATTACAAGATGGCTTTTTTTGGAGTTTTTTTTCCTATATTGATAGAATTCAGTATGCTAAATTATTTTTGGTAAAGTCCTATTATTTTTATATATATATTTTGTAGAGTGTGATATTTTCAATCATTTCTATCAAGTATCATTGTCCTTTTTTAGATATGAGCGGATTTTTTATCAAACATGTTCAGTCAGGAATGTGTGTTGATGATGCTTTAGCATTCTTCTCTGGAATCGCTCCATTACATTTTACAAGGAATTTTTTTCAAGTGACAAATAGTTTTAAATTTTTACCATCTGGCTCAATCTTGAATCTGAATAGAGCAACTTGTCTTGTGGGACGAGGCAACGGAAATCTTTTGCGGTTATCTGATGGAAATTTTAATGGAGAATGCGGAGCCATCAATGCCATAACCCAAACATTTTGGGGTGGTCTATTCTATTCACGCTATAATAAATGCATAGTACGTTCAGAAGTTTATTTCGACGTGGGACTGGCTGATTGTAAAAATGAAGAAAATCAGCGATTTAATTTCGGCAAGTGAGAATATTCATCCAGTTAGCGTAGATATACTTAAACTCTAATTAAAAGCCACTGCAAGGCCACAGATATAGGAATGGCGCCAGTTAAGTCACTGCCATCACACACTTCATTTTTATCAAATCAACTTTTATTTTACAGGAATTTAAAGATAAGCTTGTATAAATTTGTATTTACTTATTTTTTGTGTGTCTTCTATAGGATCAGTGACATGTGCTGGACAAAATATATCGGACGTTAGTTGTTCTAATGATCAATATATGGTGATAAAAGTTGCAGAATATCGTGGATTGAGAAACGGAAGCATTTGTGGCTCAAGTTTTTATTACATTTGTAGTGTCGATGTAACATGTGACCTTAAAAATCACTGTGATGGTGAAAGGGAATGTAATGTAACTGTTGATGATAATCACTTTCCTTCAAATATTTGTCCTGGTTTGAAGAAATATCTTTACTTTGAATATCAATGTAGCTACACAAGTATGCCATACAGAAAAATTTGCAATCGTAAGTAATATATAGGCAGATTATATTTTGCTTATTATTAAAGAGCTTCGGGACAAGTTTTGACCTTAATGCAAATGGTATGGTGCTCATTTTTATACTATGTACGTTATCAATTTAAAAAAATTGAAACAAATTTGAATTTTCGTCGGGTGTCTTCACCAGGCGTCGTTTGTTTATGCAGTTTTATCTCATATAATTTAATTTAATGTCTTTATATAACGTGACATTTAAATTGTGTTCTCAATATTTTTCTTAAGTTTAAAGGTTTAGACAATTTTGTCTTTTTAGTTTGTTAATGCAAATATTGTTCATAGAAACACCATTTATTCCGGTCAATTTGATTTATCAAATCTATTTTTTTTAAAATCTTTTTTAAAAGTTCTCAGTTCAACTTATTTGCCTGTAGTTCATTGTCAACTTAAAGATTAAAATCAAAACAGTGCTTACCAACTTTAAGTGTAAATCTATAAGATACTGTGTCCATCAGAATGTGGAAAACATTTCTGGTTAAGTGCTTTCAAACTATCATTTTTGTTAAGTTAATGTCACCTTCTGTGTTCTTCTGATATTCAAACTCCGTGTATATATTTTATTCATGGACGGGATTTGTCATATTTATGTTCATAAAACAACTTCTAAAAACACAGATTTCACTTTAAGATATGCGCCATAATCATAATTAAAGGAAAAAATAATTTTTACACCAAAAGAGTTAAACTGTCAGTCCAGTGAGTTTTCATCGCGTATTTACATGAAAAAACAAAAAAGCGAACCGCAAAAATTTTTTAATCAGACTGCAGTCAGCGCTATCCCTCTCAGCTTTGCTTCAGTAGATATCCAATTGACCTCGGTCTGAACATTGTTTAACATCATGCTCAACTTCATCCAAAAACTGTTAAATATTTTTCACAGGAAAATGTTTACATTTTACTTCAGTAGAAATAAATTTCCTTGTAAATTAACCCTCTGTAATTAACCCTCTGTACAATATCTCTGTACATATTTGTATGCATCTCTTCTCTGCATGTATAAACCTGTATAAACCAGTAAAAAAAGCCTCACGATTTTGTATAAGCCTTGGGCATGATATTTATTTAAAGTGTTTGTAAATTTAAATTGTGCAACTCTGGTATTTTTATAATCAAGAGTATTATTTCACAGCACAACCTAAATGAACTCAACCAAAAAAGAGTGTACAGTTTACAGTGTTCATAACTCAGTTTTACATTGAATTATATATTCCTTGTCTTCATGTTTGTATAATACTGACCTAAATCATAATTTTTTTCTCGGCACAAATTTGTATTTAGTGTTCAGATAAATCACTAAAAATCACTAAAAATGCGTAAACAAACCATAACTCTCCTTTTTCCATTGTAACAGACCGTGCGCCGTAAAATTCGTAATATTTAATTATTTACACTTTTCAACTTGTTTGTAAAAGTTTTCTGTCTCCATGCCATTGAACTAAAATACGTGGAACACTACCTCAGGCCAATAATTGAAGTCATATCTTACGCCACACACGCGAGATTTTACCCCAGACACGCGCGTTTAGTGTTTCGAGATTCTTTCGCGGAGTAATAAGTGATTGACTACACACTCGTGTCTGGGGTAAAATCACGGCTTTAAAAATTATTAGGGTTTTGTATTACAGGTAGCGTTCCATGTATTTTAGTTCAATGCTCCATGCTGAATGCCTTAAATTATTTTATACGCCATTATTTTTAAAATGACCCTCAACAGCAATTGGTTTATTTAATTCTTTAGAAAGGTTGAATTACAAGATGGCTTTTTTTTGGAGTGTTTTTTCCTATATTGATAGAATTCAGTATGCTAAATTATTTTTGGTAAAGTCCTATTATTTTTATATATATATTTTGTAGAGTGTGATATTTTCAATCATTTCTATCAAGTATCATTGTCCTTTTTTAGATATGAGCGGATTTTTTATCAGACATATTCAGTCAGGAGAGTGTATTGATGATCTTTCAGCAAGCTTCTCTGGAATCGCTCCATTACAGTTTACAAGGAATTTTTTCAAGTGACAAATAGTTTTAAATTTTTACCATCTGGCTCAATCTTGAATCTGAATAGAGCAACTTGTCTTGTGGGACGAGGCAACGGAAATCTTTTGTGGTTATCTGATGGAAATTTTAATGGAAAATGCGGAGCCATCAATGCCATAACCCAAACATTTTGGGGTGGTCTATTCTATTCACGCTATAATAAATGCATAGTACGTTCAGGAGTTCATTTCGACGTGGGACTGGCTGATTGTAAAAATGAAGAAAATCAGCGATTTAATTTCGGCAAGTGAGAATATTCATCCAGTTAGCGTAGATATACTTAACCCTTTGAACACTGCGCTCCCAACATATGACTGACTTCACACACTGAGCTCCCAGAAGGAAAATATGAAAAAATTGAAGCCGACAGTTAGAGTTGTTTGAATATGTTTTTCATCTATTTACCTCAAATATACTTATCTTAGACTATTTGTATATATAGAACTAACATTTTAGCGCCAGTATTGAACTTTATTATGCCAGTCATACCAGCAGTTCTCTTCCGACCAAAATAGAAGGAAAATCAGTTTCAATATATTCACTAATTTCTGTCGATACTTCCATTTCTGATGGACTAAAATCGCTCTCTAAGTCGCTGTTGCCATAATCATCACCTTCAAAACCTTCATTGTCGGAATAGAGAAGTGATTCTAAAACTTCTTCTGGCACAACATGGCGATGTGTAACACCACTGAACGCCATATTCATATGAATTTATTATGCCAAAATAGTGCTTACTTTACATGAAGTTTTTATACAAAGTAGAGAGGAGTGCCTGCTGGACATTTGTACTGCAGTATTAGCTTAAATATCGACGAAATGATTGGTGTTTTGGCTGTTTAGTAACAGAAAGGTGTGGCGGCCGCTTTTCCGGCCGCTCGCACTTTGGACGATGATATTTTGTGGCCGGAATAACGGCCGCTCCTGTTCAAAGGGTTAAACTCTGATTAAAAACCACTGCAAGGCAGCAGATATAGGAATTGCGCCAGTGAAGTCACTGCCATCACACACTTCATTTTTATCAAATCAACTTTTATTTTACAGGAATTTAAAGATAAGCTTGTATAAATTTGTATTTACTTATTTTTTGTGTGTCTTCTATAGGCTCAGTAACATGTGATGGAAAAAATATATCGGACGTTAGTTGTTCTAATAATCAATATATGGTGATAAAAGTTGCAGAATATCGTGGATTGCGAAAAGGAAGCATTTGTGGCTACGGTTATGACTTTAATTACAATTGTAGTGTCGATGTGACATGTGACCTTAAAAAATACTGTGATGGTGAAAGGGAATGTAATGTAACTGTTGATGATAATCACTTTCCTTCAAATATTTGTCCTGGTTTGGAGAAATATCTTTACTTTGAATATCAATGTAACTACACAAGTATGCCATACAGAAAAATTTGCAGTCGTAAGTAATATATAGGCAGATTATATTTTGCTTATGATATAAGTGCTTCGGGACAAGTTTTGACCTTAATGCAAAATGGTATGGTTTTTATTTTTATACTATGTACGTTATCAATTTAGAAAAGTTGACACAAATTTGAATTTTCGTCGGGTGTCTTCACCAGGCGTCGTTTGTTTATGCAGTTTTATCTCGTATAATTTAATTTAATGTCTTTATATAACGTGACATTTAAATTGTGTTCTCAATATTTTTCTTAAGTTTAAAGGTTTAGACAATTTTGTCTTTTTAGTTTGTTAATGCAAATATTGTTCATAGAAACACCATTTATTCCGGTCAATTTGATTTATCAAATCTATTTTTTTTAAAATCTTTTTTAAAAGTTCTCAGTTCAACTTATTTGCCTGTAGTTCATTGTCAACTTAAAGATTAAAATCAAAACAATGCTTACCAACTTTAAGTGTAAATCTATAAGATACTGTGTCCATCAGAATGTGGAAAAAATTTCTGGTTAAGTGCTTTCAAACTATCATTTTTGTTAAGTTAATGTCACCTTCTGTGTTCTTCTGATATTCAAACTCCGTGTATATATTTTATTCATGGACGAGATTTGTCATATTTATGTTCATAAAACCACTTCTAAAAACACAGATTTCACTTTAAGATATGCGCCATAATCACAATTAAAGAAAAAAATAATTTTGATTTGTGTAATTATGGATGTACGACTGTCTAAGTCGAATCTTCCGAACGAAGGTGTCGTAAATGTTATTATGTATGTAAATGTGCTCTTTTTCTTTCTTCAGAAAACAGTTTTTAATTTTTTCAATTTTTCGTGAATGGAGAACAATATGAGAGTGCACCATTGCTCTCTATCAAATCAAACAAGTTCTAATTGCGTAATGCATTTCAACAAAATCCTTTTCTATTTAAGGTCATGTTTGTGATAATCCTCTATTAAAAAACGAAGAAAAATTCCCAGATTCTTGGTTTACTGCCTTCCCAAAGAGTCGTAGTGCTGCTAAAGCAAGAATATCCAGTGGCAGTTCATGGTGTGCTTCTGCTGCAGATGGCAATCATTATCTTCAACTG